ACTGACCGGCATTGCAGGAGGCGCAAGAGGCGTTGCTACGCGAAATCCTTTCCAAGGATGCGACTCCATTATCAGATCTGAGCCAAGAAGACATGCCTTACCTCACCTCAGTCATTTACGAATGCCTTCGCCTTTTTCCACCAATCGGTCAGCTCATCAACCGCAGAGCCGCAGCTTCATGCCTGCTAGGCAGCGAGTTGGTTGTTCCTGAGGGTATGCATCCAAGTTCTCCTCGGCAGCCTGGAGCAGAAAATCTGACCACAAAACAGGAACATATCTTGGCTACCACTGTCGGTCAACGAACTGCGACCCCGTGGCATGGGGGCCGGATTGCGAGAAGTTCAGTCCTGCGCGGTGGGGAACGGCCTCGGAAGAGATCCACCAGAATTACCGTCGGCGACGGGCGAGGGGCGAATTCATCTCGTTCCATGGCGGGAAACGCGCATGTCTTGGCGAAAAGTTTGCCATGCTCGAGATGCGGATGACTCTTGTGCAACTTATCCGCGAGTTCCGCTGGTGTTTGGACCCGATGTGGGTGGAAAGAATGACACCCGTAAGTCCAGTTCCCTGAGCCCTCCTCCTCGATCGCTTGATTGCTCGGTCCCGATCCCCGCCCCCATGCGAATGGTGATTTGGGTTCCGCTTATCTACGCATGCGGTTGAGCAAGTTTACAAGGGGATCGCTGACGAGTAATTGCAGGCAGGACCATTGTACCCCAGAGCTCTGAAGCTCGTGTTTACGGAGAGAGCGAGAGAAGACGGAAAAAGCGTGGAAAAAGCGTGAATCAGTAAACGCGATAATGGTCGATTTGCAACGGTCGGTTTCAGCATAGATTTGTTTAAATGAGTAGAATAATTTAGACTTCGTGTTCCCCAGAGAGCTTCCTTTCTCGCGGAAATAATTCTGTGACAGTGTCAGTGCTGTTGAGTAGCGGTACCTTGACTAGACTGACTAGAGGCTCGTCCGAACCCCACAGATGACGGGGACTAGGATTAAGCTTCTAAATTAATCGACAGGCATCTTGACATGTGGTTGGGGAACTGGATCCTTCCTAGGATCCGATTAAGCGGGTATCGGCCAATCAGAGTTGCCCAGATGTACAGATACGACAACTCGCACAACAGGACGGGCTATGTAACTCTGCTGGTCGCAGTTCAGTCGGACGCAGCAACGCGCCAAGTAAACCACGCCATTTGTTGGTGCAAGTGCTGCGGCGTCCTGCTGAATCTCGTAAAGTCGAAATAAGAAAGTGCTTACTTGCCTTTGCCTGCACACTCGGTCAAGAAGGGCTGTGGGAGACCACCGACGGAGCATCCCGGTCAAGGCTCTTGACGGGCTTGTCCAGGAGAGAAACTTCGTACCGAGAGCGGGCTCGTGACCAGCTGGTCTAGGCGCTTGTCAGCTTAGCGCAAGGGTAAAAATGCCTGCATTTAAGGTAGTGGGGGCTTTGCTTGCAGTTGATCTTAATGGCGCAATTATCAATGCTTGAAGATGGAATCTTACACGCTTCACAGAGGAAGAACTTTGTTCTATTCGTAGGTTTGCCAAGAACTGCTGGAACAGTCCCTGTCCCCATCTTTGGTCCTGGAATGTCGACCACGCCGAGCCTGCCCACACCAACGAGCCAATCGCAGCATTTCCACCCGCCTCGCTGTCGTTGCAAGTGCGATGGCTTCTCACCAGGGCGAGCGTTTGGGGGCCGGTCACGATGCTGCCTGTACAGCCCAAGCCTGTACCTGTACCTGTACCTGTACCTGTACCTGTACAAGTGCGATGGAGTTGTGTGACCCTGGCGCTGCACCTGCCTACCACCGGTGTCTGCGGTGGTCGATGAGGGCCCTTCCATGGCGAAATGCTCCTTCTACTCTCGATTGCTGGGGCCCAATTCTGCAAGCACCATGTTAGTCCCGCCTCCCAAGACCGAGCCCTGCTGCCGTGCATGTACTACGCAGGCGGCAAGCCTCCTCGCTCGCGTTCCAAGTTTGGCAAGGCCTCGACTCAGAACGCTCGGTCATCCCATATTTTCCTGCGTGTGGACTGACTTTGAGGCTTTGAGCTGCACTTCTCTGCTGAAGAAGCCCATTTCTTCGGGCATCATCGGTTCCTTCGACCTTTGCAAGATATTTTTGAATCCATTCTGCTGATGTTAGCCTGCGGCACACCCTCTCCAACATCATCTTGATTTCACAGCCCGATCAAAAGTTCTGGAGCGGAGGAAAACACCACTGACATCGTGCCACCCGGGCCGCGTTCCGTCCTATCAAAACGCACAAACAGAAAAGAAGGCATCCAGCGTAGCCGAATCCTCGCTATCATCTTCAAGTCTATAACAGTCCGATATCTCCAGCTTCCCTCGTCTCATATCCACATCACTCATCGCCCACTCATCAAACCTTAATACCTAATTCATCACTCTATAATACCTTCAGACGATCCATCTGCCCTCGTTGCCTTACCACAATGGAGTTCTCAAATGATGGAAATTCAATCTTTCACCGCTTCCAGGCCGCCTTCGTCCACGATGGACAGGGACAGCTGCTGTACTGCAGCGGGCCGCAAAAGGCCAGGGTACAAAAGCATTGGGCCGCGATCGAGCACTGCCTTCCGAGCCGGGCGGCAACAGGCGAGACACAATTTGGATCTGCAGATCTCAGTGGCACTTTTGAGGGCCTGAGGTTGTATGAGATGCACAACGCCAAGTTCAACAACACGTCCGGGATCATCATCGACAGCTCATCCCAGCAATCCACACTCAGCACACAGTTCGAAGAGTTCTTTGCTCAACTGCTCCTCGACCAAGCTGACTTTGCTATTCGCGACCCAGAGCTCATCATCTCTCCTCAAAATGATTCCACACCCATCACAGAAAAGATTGTCGACCTCTTCGACAGTTTCTTGAGGTATCAAGGCAAAGACGACCAGTGGGAGGCCACCGGACGTGCCTACTTCTCAGACCGTGTTCAGCATTTCACCTCGCAGCGGGCCCCCATCGAGCTCTGCCTCCCTGCCTTTCCTTGCAAATCCTCAAACACCAACAAAGTCCTCGGTAAGGCTCCCGACAGAGGAGAGCAACTGGCCTTGGAGCGTCTTCATAGCTTTGTTGAGGAGATTGAGGGCATTCATCAGCCCGGTGCTAAGCTGTGGATTATCAGTGACGGTCACGTCTTCAGCGATTGCAGTAAGCTCCCTATTTTGTCTCGATATCGACTTAGTCTAACAATTATCAGTTGGCGTTGATGATGCCGATGTCGACACGTATGGCGAGCAGCTGAAGGAAATGAACCACGCCGTCGGTCTTCGTCGAGGAAACACCAGCCGCGTTGGTTTCAAGTCGCTTGTTGATCTCTTTGAGTTGAACGAAACCAAGACTCAAAGCAAGCTTTCGGAGCTTGCTGTCAAGATTGGAATTCCTTCAATTGCTCACCATGTTCAAACTGGCCACACAGTCGAAGCAGAGCTTTCGCGACAGATCTTGATGGCTGGCTGCCAGCCTCAGGAATCAGCAGTGCGAGCCAAGATCAAGTCCCAGAATGCAGCCATCCTGGCGCTATATCGTGGATTCTCCCGCTTCATGTTGGAAGACCTTGAGCTTCATCCCTTCACTCAGAAGATGACCCGGACGCAACAAAAGAAGCTGTCTACAAAGGTGGCGTTCGAAATGATTATGGTAAGCTGAGACTCGTCCAATCACAGGCTACTCTACGGTGGTCGCCGAACATATACACAAGCTAACGCTTAATTGCAGCGCAATCAGGCATATTCCAACCTTGTGGAACTTCTTTTCCCCAATTATGTTCGCCTTTCTATTCATGCGTAAGTATCCTTCATTTTACAACGCTGTTCTTGCAACTAACCTTTCCTTAGTCACAACAATGCTGGACCCAAATTTGGCATTCAGCTCTTCGACCCTGCAGTTGTCAGAGTTGTGGAGGGTCTGTCGCCCGACGGGGTTCCGATGACCTCTCGTGATCTTCTTCACATTCCTACTCCCTGGCACAACTGTGTGGTAGAGATTGAGGGTAGCCCTTATCTCCTTGTTACCAAGGCAAGCATTCCAAAAAAGGCCATGGAAATGGGTGCAATGACTGGAGGTATCTCCAATATCGGCGGTGCATCTTTCGTCTTGCGCCCGACAAGCAAGACGGCAGTGGCCGAGAAGGAAGAAAAGAAGGAAGCGTTGGTCGCCGCTCCCGAAAAGCCTTTTGGCATCGCACGAAGAATGTCATTGAAGCCTGCCAATGGCCAAACAAGCTTCGACTGGACCCGAAGGCTGGCGGCCCTTCCCATTCTCGGTTGGATTGGAGCTTTCTTTTATCATCGCTTTGTGGAGACGTTTGCTTAGACTGCTTACATGCTTTTCTGACTGCATCAACAAGCGTAGCGTTGGATTATGGGAGGACAACATATCAGGCGTTTCTAGACTCTCTTTAAATCTTAATGACCAATTAGATAATTCTACTAAAGCTTTTCTGCTCATCCATCTTCCCTGTCGTTTCCCAGTCTGACCGTTGTCGCTGGACATGTCACTGTACATGTACCTAGATCCCGGTGGTTCTGTTGAGCAAGTTCCATTTCCTAAAATGGCAATCGGGCTCTCGCGATTGAAAACTTGCTCATGTGGGCGCGCCAAGACTGTCAATTTCCACAGCAAACAACGAAAACGCACGGAACCAACTCAAGTCCACCGACGTCGAATATTCTCCAATCGGATGTAACACAGCATCCGTTTCCACCCCGCAAAACATATTGTTGTCGCTCGAAGGATTCATTGAGCCGTTTACTTGCGCATGTAAGGGATGTCACCCGTCCTACATTGAACAATGGGAGCAAGGATAGCTCGGGGTCTCGACGCGTGGGAAGTGTCGGGATAAGAAGTCCGCTGCGCCCACAAATTCAGCTTGACATCTTGCGTCAACTCTGATATCCTCGGACTCGAGTGTGCTTCAAGATGCGTTTACATGCTTCGTTTTCGAGCTTGTTGCTGGCTTGTCTCGCAACAATGACGCTGGCTCAAGATGAGAGCCCAGTGCAAGCATGTAAGTTCTCACATTGCGCTGTCCCTCCTCACAGCAAACCTGACAAGGAAAAGGCATCCCGCGTCCAACAACGACCACACCGGCATCTCCTCCACCGACGTCTCTCCCGCGAAACTTTGGCATGATCATCTCTCGCGCTTTTGAGATGCTAGACGTCTTCGGACCCCTGGACGCCCTCGGCATGCTCGCGAGAATCCACCAGCTCAACCTCTACCTCATCGCCGAGACGATGGATCCGGTGACAGTCGAGCCGGTGTCTGCCGCCATGAACTCCAAAAACTCGAGTTTCGTAAGTCTTGCTGTCCTTCTTGGCTGGAAATCATTCACCCCGCTCAAACGGAACCTCGCCCTCCGAGACCCAAACTCGACTTGGCGGAATCGTAAGACGTTGCTTGCTTACCACCTCAAAAACACACAGTTCCCCAAAATCCTCCCGACGCACACCTTCGCCACCGCCCCGACCGACATCGAGGTGCTCATGATCCCAGGCGGCCTCTGGACGCGCTCGCCCAACCTCAACTCCACCATCGCCTACGTGCGCGCCACGTACCCGAAGCTGCGGTACCTCGTCAGCATCTGCACTGGCGCCTCGATCGCCGCACGCGCGGGGGTACTCGACGGGCGCCGGGCGACGACGAACAAGGCCTCGTGGGCGAGCACGATCGCGTACGGCCCGAACGTCACCTGGGTCCCGAAGGCGCGGTGGGTTGTGGATGGGAACGTGTGGACGTCGTCGGGGATCAGCGCGGGGGTCGATGCGACGCTGGCGTTCATCCAGGACGTGTATGGGCGGGAGAATGCGACGTATATTGCGGATTTGATGGAGTATGAGTGGCATGAGGATTCGGCGTGGGATCCGTATGCGGAGAAGTTTAATGTTACGGGGAGTTGAGGGAATGTGAGTTGTGAGTTCTGAGGAGCGATTAGACAGTTGATCGTCACGAGTCACGACCCGCATAATGAGACCAATTGCTTCTGCTAAAACACGTTTGTGTCTAATCACTTATTGATCTTCTCAAACAATGTAAAATGACTGTAGTTGAATCAGGTGAGTGGTCTTCGTGATTTTCTATCATCATGTAAATGCACAGAGTACTCCATTCAAACTTTGGTCGAGTATCCAAGCATCATAGATGACCTGAAAGAATGCCCTCAGAATGACCTTGCGAAGAGGGAAGGTTGAAAATGGCTTAGCGAAAAGAAGACCTGTAATCTGCTCAAATAAGTCAGACAACGGAGAGGTATTTGATTTTAAGTTTAAAGTTTGCGTTACTGAACATCAAAAGTCTGTTCTCTCAGATCGCTTTGTATTGTGTGTCTGGTAGATGTGACTTGATTTTAGAACAAGTGACAGAGTTAGATTTACCCCCTGCCGGAGTAGCATTTGGAAATTCCAGTGCCGTAAGTCATCATGCATTGCACATTCATGTTTCCGACTGAAATGAACGAGCATAATCTTTTTTCATTATTGACACGTACTGGAGACTTATCGGTTGAACACCTCGAGTGGTGAGTTGTGATACCTGGTGGGTAGCTTGAGCTCCACTACTGCAAAGCATCAGTCTGACGTATTCATATCTCACTGATGGATCATCTGATGTATTTTAGCGTTGCATCTCTCTGGTTGTAGATTCAACAACAACTCAACAACCCCTTTTGCCTCTGTGTTATGAGTTAACCCTAACCCTCGTCAAACCCTCCATGATCAGTTGCCAAAGACGCCGTCCGCACAACAACAAAACCTAACGGAATTTCGTTTAGTTTGGACACAGTCTCAGTAATCAAACATAAATTAGAACAAAGAATTGCATCTTTGAATACGGTTCTCTCTAGAACGGAGGTTGGATCAACCTCCAACGTCGCCGTTTTGCCTTTTGACACTAGCGAAACTCAATCTAGGACGTAAAGCAACCACACCCCACACACCGAGGATCTCCATCGCGGGCCTTCCCGCTTGCAACCTTTAACAATGGACGTTTAGGAACTTGGGACGAAATATTTTTTTCTTTCGCCTAACGCTGCACTTCTTGCATCCCCCCGTTCCTCTCGACCGTAACCGTTACATTACCTCAGCATTGATCTTTATCCGGACCCTCTGCCGCGCGTTTCAGACTTGGCATGTGGCAAGTTATCCTGCCATCCCGACTCTCACTACTCTCTAATATCCGGACCAACACCGGACGGGATCCAAATATCGATGACGACGGTTGATGCGGATTTTTCTTGGGCACATTCGCATTCGATTTAGGCACTTTTCCACCTTCGTATTTTGACAGTGCCCCGAGTAGGCTAGCATCTCGTTATCTGTTTCTTTTCAGAGTCCCTTGCCGTTTTGCTTTTTGAATCTTGTCAAGAACGCACGTGGAGAGGGGTTCCCATAACGTCGGCATCACCGACAAGGACCACAGGGCAATGCCAAATTCAAAATCCGAAACCCCAACGCCTAGGATGAACGGATGCTCATCCCGCAATACACCCGCCACCATGTTCCTGCGCAAAGACTCCTTCAACCGCCGTGCTCTATTCCACACCGAGGCTGGCGGCCAATGACCGCGGCCCGGTCGCGTCATCCATCCTCCTCTGGCCTCCTCTCCTTCGTATCCCCCTCATCCAACAAGTCTCTGGCCTCAAAAAAACACGATGCTCCTCCTGCTACAGCCTGCATGCTGCATATACGTGCCTATCTTAAGCCAGGAACCATTGCTCTCCGGGTTAGAGAGGGGGCCAGACCGGGGCGCTGATGCCCAAGAGACCAGTCCTCATGATCAATATTTCGCGGTGACTCTCGGTGAGACACAGAGTGATAAACACAAATAGCCATCAGCGGCACCGGCAGCGGCACCGGCAGCATTAGCATCAGGCTCCAACAGGTGCGTGGAGTTTCCCGCTCATGCATGTCCCATCCTCGCCCGCCTACCTTCTCCCCTTCCTCTTCCTACGCTGCAGGGTTCAGTTCCGTGACGTCGCATTCGTGCGAAACCCGTGCAAATCACACACAGAAAAACCAGAGGGCACACCACATGGCCTGCGGCAGTTGTTAGTTACGTGCGTGGTGAACGGGGATTATTTTCTTTCGTTTGATTAATTGCCTTCGGGAATTAGAAGAGCCAAGAGCACACGGCACAGTAGCATCGAGGACGGGTAGAAAAATGTCTCTCTTTAATCCCCTTCTCTTCAGGCACACCGAGACAGCCTACCGTTCTAATTTGCACACACACACACACACACCCGCGTCTAATCTCCTACTGCTACTACCCCAAAGATGCCCCCCGGAGGCGGGTAGGGGAAAAAGCAAACGAAAAGAAAATGGCCGGCCATGTATGTATGTACCTGACTAGGTATGTGGGGGTTCATCCAACATCCTGCAGCATCCAATACAAACAGGCTGGCCTTCCATTGCAGGACATGCAAAACGCAGCAACACACCTCCCCCTCCCACCAGCACCCCTCCCCTGCGTTTTCGTTTGTTTTTTTTCGTCTCCCGCGCAGGATGTGCAGAAAGGCACTCCCTTCTCCGCCAGGCTGGCTGGCCCCCCTCTGGTCGCACTCACAGTCCGATGTGCACTCCCCCCTCCCCTTCACCACCATCACCAACGCTTCCCACCCCAGCCAGCTTGGATCAGGGACCAGGACCAGTTAGAAGCGCGGCTATCCTCAGCCACACAGCAGCCAATGCCATCATCATGCAATCTCCGACCTATGCCAGCCAGCCTCTGGAGGAGATTTTCTCCTCTTGCCTGCGCAAAAAAACACCAAAGTGCGGGAGTGTTGTGTCGTGCAGCCGCAGACCGCTTCTTTGCCACAACGCATTCAGGGCCCTTTTCCCGATGTAGTCGTAGTTTTTCGGCTTTGGTTCGGTAAGGCTTAGTCTGTGATGTGAGAGCAAGCGAGCAAGAAAGGCACCTCCATTGACTCTCCAAGGGCCAAGGCTATACCGTCACCAACGTGAAGATGGCGGAGGGGGCCTCCGGATTGTCCCCAGCTACCCGGCGAACCGACATCACACAGGATTTGGGGCGAGACATACAGCTGGCCAGCGTAAAGACCTGCATTGCAGCCCAAGTATCGAATCCTCTTGTCCCGTTTGAGAAAGGTCTGTTCAAGCATCTTTTCAAATAGTAATCATGTATGTCTTTATGTGGTTGGTAGGTATCAATAATCCTTATTTCTCGTACGTACATGTCATGCGTCCGCCGCCGCAAGCAAGGGGTGCATGATCTCGGGATCCTTCCTATCGGTCCAATCGTTCGCACAACAAACGGGAAATGACTGGGGAAGAAATAAAACAACAAACAGAAAAATTCAACGCTTGAACCAACTCCTCGAGTCCCCCTCGTGTTGCCACGCTGTCCGATCCCCGTTTCCTGGCGTCCGCCCGCCATGCATCTTTCCGAAGGGTATCTCTGTAGAGTCTAGTAACTCTGATGCGAATGCCCTCCCAGTACACCGTTGACCGTCAAATCACACTCATCCCGATGATCGATCCCGTGGTTGTCTAATAACTCCCGTGATGCAATCCCCTCCATTTTCCTTTCTCAGTCGTGACCCGTAAAAATATGTCCACTCCGTATAAGAAACGTTTGTAAAAGAGAGAGAAAAAGGTATAGACAATGTTTTCAGTGGAAAGCTTGTCAGAAAGAAAAGAATGATGAACCGCTCAACAGCCACGTTCTGCACCTTCGTACACTCTCCGATGATGAAAATACAACCTTGACCGCAAAAGTAGATGATCGAAGGGGAAAAAAATAAGACGTGCGCCGCTCTCGAGGAGAGGGTAAAGAGGGAAAGGGTGAAGATATATGACGCCAAAGAAACAGACAGGAAACAAATATCCAAACAACCTCCCAACCCAAGAATTACCAATAATGAAAATCACGCGTCTTTTCCGAAGCGTGCCGTTGAGGAAATCTTCCCCGTCACCTAGATGCGCCTGTGGTCTTTTTTCTTTTCCGAATGTGGCAGGTTGTCTCGTTGCTTTTCTCATCTTTTGACTCCGTACCGTTCCCGTGGTATCTCCCTTGCTGAATCATTTCCGTTTATTCATTCGAAAGCCGGTTTGCCGTGTGACGCTCCCACCAATGCGGTCAGTACATCGCATGGGTAGATTGCGTGTACATACGGTCGCGGTAGGCGGGAGGAAGACCGTCGTACCTGGGGCTGCTGGCGCTCGAGGACTGGTCCATGTCGGTATCGTAAACGTCGTAGCCGTGCTGGTGGTGGTGCACATATTGCTCCGGAGGAGGAAGGCGCTTGGAGCTGTATGCTGCCAGGCTGGTAGGGCCGGGAACCCGCTTGACGGGATAAGATGAAGGGGCGGTTCGGGACTTGGAAACGCGGTTGGCGTTGCTGACCCTGCGGTCCTTGCCGCGACCCTTGATACCCTTGTTGCTGTTCTTGTAGAGGTTGGCGAAGTACCAGTACATCTCTCGGTCCTCGTCAGAGAGGCCATCGATATCAGAGAGGGAAACGATCCAGTCGGTCAGCTCCATGAGCGTCTTCTCGTGATACTTGTTTTGGTGGTTCTGTTCATTGATTAGAAGCTGTTCCTGACATCTCCAAAGGATTGCATACCTTGAGATTGCCTCTCTGTGTGAACATCTTGTTGCACTGGTCAAGCTTGCAGACGAAGGGTTTGGCATTGGTGTGGGTAGCCATGTGCGTCTGCAGGTTGCCGCGCTGAGCAAAGACCTTGCTGCACTGCTCGCAGCGGAAGGGCTTCTCGCCAGTGTGACGGCGCATGTGCGTCTTTAGGGAGTCAGCTAGTGTCGTTTGGTCGTACACGGGAAAGTCTCACCTTCAGGTTCCCGGGCTGCGAGAACGTGCGTCCGCATCGCGGCCAGTTGCATGCCTATGATGGATTAGAATGAATGAATAGCTAGAGAGAAATGAGCA